CGCAATCACCAAATCCATTGTGGGATCCACTTCTGGTCCTATAAAAGAAAAGAAACTAGTTTGAAATAGCCAAACTGTTCTTTAATTTATATCAGCTCAAATCTACTCACAAGCTACTACATATATTATATGATAAATATATCGAGAGTATCCAAAACAAAAACATATAGTGGTCATTTTTAAATTTAATAAAAAGATCGGATTATAAAAACTGCACATAAAGTAAAGATTAAATTCTTCTACTATTGCTATAGTCTTCTCATATGTGTCGCACTGTGTCGCTGTAATTTCGACTTCGTTACAAAAGAGGAGTTACATTGAGAACATTTATATCTCCTGTCTACATTAGTATGCGTCATACGAAAGTGAGCGGCACGTTTCGATGCAGTCTCGTACGTTTTCCCGCAAGCTGGGCAATCATAATCAATTTTCTGCTGACCGTGTTCGTCTACTAAATGTTTAGCTCTACTATAATAATTTGTGAACATTTCAGGGCATCGCGGACACGTATATCTTACTCCTTTCCTATGCACTTTCATTCTATGGCACATCCTAGCAACGCGGGTACCGAATATTTCCTTACAATCCGCGCATGGAAACGAGCCTATTTCATGCGATTGAACGTGTCTTCTAAAGCGAGATTTAGACACAAATGCTTTGCCGCATTCTTCGCAAATGTAGTTTTGGTAATGGGAGTTCATGTGTTCATTGACTTTTGAGAAAGTGTCGAAATGTTCGAAACATATCTGGCAATAGAAGCTGTTCATTTGCAATTTAAATGGAAGCACGCCATCACTGTATTCAAGGAATAGATTCTTTTTATGAATCGAAACTAGATGATCTTTTAAGGAATCAATATTTTCTATATAACAGTTACATATCCTGCACAGAAGATTGCCAATATCAATTTTGACCATATTATTTTCGGTGAGTTTCGTAAAGATTTTCTTTGTGGGTTGTTCGCCAATGTGATTTTTAAGGACATGTTCGCGTAAAGGATCTATGTCTGCGAATCTATGATCGCAATAGGAACAGTAAAAGGTCCCGTGGAACCACCGAAAAGCCCACGCTGTGGAACATTCTAGCAACGTGATAGCATTCCTGCGCATCATAGTTTTAGCTATTCTTTTATCAGATTCCTCAGGTAGTTCGTTGTTGGCACGTCGACGTCTTCTCAACTGACGCTCACTAACGTTTTCTTTTAACTTCCTACCACGTCTACCGCGAATTATATCTGACTCCTCTTCCGCAAAAGCGGAACCTAAAAAGAAAATAAAACTAAATTACAAAATAAAACAAAACTATAGCTCAAGTATAATAATAATAACGTTCTTTTGCAACAACTGTTTCTTATATTAAACTGATGACGTACCCCGACACCGCACTCATGTAAATATTAAAAAGTCGCTAATTATTTTGAAAATAAAAAACCGTTCATGTTACTCATTGATAATGTAGCTACAAGTAGTATGTAAGATCAATATTAAAATAATTTAAATATTTATGTATGTTGCTTTTGACTTTTTTTATGTTTTAGGTGGTATTGTAACTTGTAAATAGTTATTTTTTACACCAGTTATTACCCATTCATTACTATCTATGCCACTGTGTTGGGTTGACTGGGAGAGATCTCTTCTAGAGATAAATTCTTACACTGGTGGCCCGTCAATAAATATTATTAGCGAAAGCGAGTTAGAACACGTTCTATTATAATCCATTTAGTCACGGACTATATATAGCGTTTTTGGTTCATGGGACGAATTACAATTAAAATATCAAATGTAACATTTTACTATATTACATTTGCTAAAGAAATTACTATTTAATAAATAAAAATATCAAATGTATTAAAATAAATTTTATTCCGAAAATAATACTGACATGTTTATAAATTTAATTCTTTCAAATGCTTATACTTAACAAATTCAAAGATAAACATCCATAAAGCTGACTATACATTAGTATGTATAGTCAGCTTTATGGATGCTATAGTTAGCAACGCTTACTTTTATTAGACAGTCTGATATTCAAGTTGCCTTTTAATTTTAATCATATACGGAGATCAATAAAGCTTTCAATTTATATTTGTTAAACTACATTAAGTAAAGTCACAGAGATATCAGTACGACGGCTTTATGGTATCGTTTAATAATAATAATAATATGCTGCTGCTCATGTATTTTTTATATACTCTGTATATGAACAGCATTATGAATCACTTTATCATGTGACACCTGTGGTACTACTATTATTGAGGGCTAATGTGACATGCCCCCCACAAGTTGTAATGACATTGCCATATAAGTTTTTTTTTAAACTCTACCATAGATTATTAAATAATTTGACAGCTGAAGTAGGTGATATAGATATAGCCACGCACACAACACCGAAATTTATAAGTAAAGCGTTGTATGTATTTAGATATTTTCATAAAATTCATTATTTTTAATTCTTCAAAATTTATTTTCACCTATCATAAACGCTAGCTATGTCCTTGCCGTAAATGTGCCAATAACTGAGGCTTCTGTTTAAACACGGTCGCACACCATTTACAACAATACTCCTCGTGAACTTTTAAATGGGACAACAAAGCTTTGTTTCTTGGAAATGATTTCCCGCACACGTTGCAATGAAAATTCCTTTCGCCCGTGTGTCTGACCATGTGTCTTTTAAGTTCATAGCTCGTTTTGAATTGCCATTCACAGCACGGGCAACTATAATCTCTTTGCGGTGGAAAATGGACGGAACGTACGTGGACTGCTCGCTTTCCGCTCGTTTTAAATGACAATTCGCAATGCGCGCAATCGTACGACACCACTTTCTCCCGATGCGCCTCATTGAGATGCGTCATTCTATCGTAGTAGCCTTCGAACCGCATATTGCAATGTGGGCATCCGTACCGAGGACCTTTCGCGTGTGCATGCGCCTTATGAGAATCTCTAGCTGCGCGCATAGTGAAAATCCTATCGCATTCATTACAAGGAAACTTTCCGCTTATGTGCACTTCAGAATGTTTTCTCAAACGTGGCGCCGTCATGTATCCTTTACCGCAAGTTGCGCATATATAATGCTGGTAATGCACGTTCATATGCTCGTAGAGTTTCAGGAAATTATTGAACTTCTCCTTACAAACCACGCACTTCCAAGATTCCTTGTCTAAACAAAACGGTAGAACACCATCAGGATGCTTGGCGTCAAAATAGAAATCATGTTGAACTATATGATTGCGCATCTGATTCACGTCTGTAAATGGTACAGCGCATAATCGACAAACCGCTTCTGTTATATCGACATTTATAAGTGGCATTTCTTTGAATTTGCTGTAAATATCTTTGACGCTGTGCTGGGAGGAACACGTTCTAACATGTTCCCTTAATAAGTCGCATTCAGTGAAGTAGGCCTCACAATAGGAACATTTAAACTTGTTCCTTTTCCATCTAAACGGGCATACTGCCCAACATTCTAGTATCGAGGCAGCATTCTTCTTTATAATAATACGCGCTTCGGCTCTCGCACTTCTCTGGTACCGGCGTTTTTCCTCAACTTTTTGTTTCATTAAATTTCCTGTTGCTCCTACATCTATTATGGTTTCATTGACTTGTCCTTGGAATCCTAAAAATAGAAAATTTTTGGTCAGATTTCGTGTTTCTGGCCTTTGACCATTGTATATTTCCTAATGATATTGTAGCAATATTCTCCATGAGTTCCAGCTTATAAAAATTCACGTCTGAACAGTTTTTAGATTATTTAAGTCTTCTTTTTTTAAATTAAATATAGGTAAAATTTATTCTTAAATAAAACATGCATTACTGCAAAGCATTTGGTTGGCAAGATAAAATTCATAATAATCTAATTTTGCTTATTTGGTGCAACAAGCATATTACGGTTGATACATGTACCATGTTACCTATTATATATTTAATATCTGAGGGTAAAATAAACACAAAATCATTATCACATATTTTATATATATATATTATCTTTTCACAATAAATAAATTTTATCTATAACTTATCACAAACCTACCATCTAACAATTCTAAAATTATAATACGTTCAAATTAAGACGAAATATATTTATATATACAACTATATAATTTACAAGGTATATTTAAAATTAATACGATTGTCAATGTAATTTATATGCCGAAATTAAAAATATATTTTTTTTTTAAGTCACTCATATACAAAGTTGGGTTTACTTATAAAGTATAATTACACATTTTGAAATAATTTCAAAATCTAAATAAAAATAAGTATACCATTAAATGCCGCTTTCAAAGCTCTCAGATTTGCAAGCTTACATGCTGATTATGTTACTTCTATCAATCCTTAGTTACGAATTATTGCAATTAAAAATTTGGTAATTATGCGTACATAATGTTAAACTTGCAGATATAACTTGCAACTGCAACTATGCATAATCACAAATTTAACAATTTAAATCTAGACAACACAATAAGAAAATAATGATTGTGCTACATCAATTTCAACTTTCTGGTTGTATTGCAATAAACTCGCATATAACATAATTAAGAAGTGTTAAGTAGGTTTCATTTGCCGGTGGTCTGGCGGTTCAGCACATCATCTTTTTTATTGTAGCACTATGACCTACATAGATCTATTGTGCTCGCCCTTTTTCAGAGTTCACTACCTAGACCCGGCAGGGACAAGAATTAAAAGATATTCTTAGGAGCGATGATTTTTATCTCCTCAAGATAGAGTGTAAACTTTCCAAAGGAGATAATACGTTTATGCATGAGTGGGCTACAACCACATAGGATGTGTAGTGGCGTTTCCACATCAGTTTGACAAAATCTGCAGATTTTTGTTATGCACAGGCCTAAGTTTTACCAACTGCCTAACTTGCGATAGTCACGTCTCTTGGATAAATCTGATTTGCTATCTGCATACAATCAGTCAGAAGCATAATTTGACACAGTTTTTTAGTGTCTGCTACAGTCGAACTCATGTACTTTTACATCAAGGACCTACAAATCAATATACAAATTTAAACTATCACACATGGAAATGTTTTTTGGTAATATGTTTTTCCAACGACACTTTAGAAGCGAACGCTCTTGAACAGCTAACACAAGGGTAACTGTATTCAGACTCCTTCTTCGTACGATGAGCCTTTACATTGTGATGATACTTCTGAGATCTAGTTTTAAAAGTCATATGACAAGTGGTGCATTCGTACATCTCTGCGCCTGGTTTATAATTGTGGAACTCCATTAGATGACGCTTTCGGAGCTCCCACGTTGCAAACCTAGGTTTCTCTTTGCAGTAAACACACATGTAAGGCAACTTAGTATGCTGAGTTTTTATATGTATATTCCTTTCGTCAAACGTTGAAAATGTAGCCACACAACGGCTGCAATGATATTTGTTATCATGCGGAATCTTTGTATGCGCTATTAACGCTGACTCCGTAATGAATCCTTCACCGCACGTGTCGCAAACGTAATTCTGGAAATGTTCCGCTGTGTGTTTCTTTAATGATATAAAATCAGAGAATTGAATTTTACATATGGCACATTTCCAACATGAACCATCGTTCAACTTAAATGGCAACACACCAGGCTCGACGTCAGCGTTGATTGGTTGCTTGTGATCATTCTTCAAATGAGACATAAGATCATCTAAATTCTCTATTGACATAAAGCAAAGTTTACACTGAAGATCTGTTATGTCAATTTTAAGAAACTCTTTTCTCAGTTTCCTGCTAAACACTAGTTGAATGTCAAAATTTGCGTGCCGCGCTGCCATATGAGTTCTGAGCCCATTAGGATCATTCGACTGTACCCTACAAAAGACACAGTTGAAATTTTGCCCCCATGTCCTAAATGGAGAAGCTGTGGAACACTGCAGAATAATTTCAGTATTGCTGCGATGTTTCAGAGCTTTCCCAAATCGAGGCTTATAAGAGGATTTGTAGCACCTAAAGTTTCTTTCGTGTTGTCGCAATCCGTGTTCGGACAAGAACGTTGCACCACACTTGTCACAAGTAAATATCTTTACATGACTACGTAAATGTCCGTTTATTTGTGAGAATTCTGCAAATGTTTTATCACAGTCTAGACACATCCACAATCCTGTAGGTCCCTGTCGATACGGTAACACACCGAAAGGTACATTGAAATTTACTGAAACCCCGTGATCTTTAGATAAATGGCTCATAAGTATATCTACATTTTGAATGCCTTGTGAACAAATATTACATTTTAACTCAGTTATATCTATTTTTAAATCATCGACTACTTTGTAAAATGCACTATTGTGGTCGGCATTGGAATGATCTGTCTGAATGTGATTTCTTAGAGCTGCCATAGGTTCAAATTCGTCATGACAATAGGAACACACAATTCTATTAAATCGAGTTTTAAACGGAAACGCTGTAGAATGTTTTAGAACGAGAACAGCGTTTTGCCGCTGCGGATTCTGGTTTACTGATCTTTCAAACAGCCGCTTTTTTGGCTTATTTTCTTTCTTTTTAATTCCGTCAATTTTTCTTCTCGGCCCTAAAAAAAGAAAAGAACTTCATCATTATTATATTCTAAATACATTCTTTGTTTATATGGCTGCATTAAAGTATATTAATTAGAAGCTTTCCATGCTATAGTCTTTTCTACAAGCATCAGTGTTTCCTCATTATATTACAATTCTTCTTTATGTACAACACATAATTATAATAATCGACTTTTCCATTATATTAAAATGTTTCTTTAATTAATGTACGATTCCACAAACAGTTTAAACACCTAATCTTTCAGACTAGTAATATAGCAGGTTTATATTTTATTTATTCAGTCCGTAAGTTATCCCCTTACAATTCTCATCTGAGCCAGTGTCTCTTACGAGATTCTTAACTTCAGTTGGCGAACTTTTATTGCCGTTTACAATGCATGCAGTTCATCATATCTTCATCAGATTATTGTTATCTTTTATTAGTTCAATCGCATGTATTTTGATAATTTAGTTATAACTACGAAGTTTACTAATAAGACTGTCGGTTATTTTTTATTAACGCTATCTTCATCGAGTAATTCAAAACCATGTACTTTTTACAAATGTATATATAGTAATAAAATAAAACAACTATTAGATATCATGTTAAGTAGTAAAGCTAAATTTATGTTAAATTTAAATAAAGCAACAGTTTCGTGTAGAACTGCGGATGTAATATGAACTAAATCTAGCAAGTAACTCTAAGCCAATACCTGCAATCCATAACTGCATAATAAAGTCTTTATGTAAGCATTTTTGTCTATTTATTTTGTGTGTTCTGCTACAATGACTTCGGCACAAAGGTTATTCAGAAATTGTTCAATCATTTGATAATTCAAAGAGAAATGTACTATTCCCCTAATATGAAATAAAAGGATCACAACATGGTATTATTACTTAACGCCTCACATCATATCAAAATGTTTCTTTGCTATATGTTTGTCCAGGAAAAGTTTAGTCGTGAACGCTTTAGGACAACTTGGACATGGATAATTGAGTTCCATATCTTTTTTCATCCTATGAGTTCTAGCCATATGATTATATTTCCCAGAACGAGTCTTAAACACCTTCTGACAACTCGAACATTCGTATTTATCGGCGCCAGTTTTGTAATTGTGAACTTCCATAAGATGTTTCTTACGCAATTCCCAATTAGCGAATCGCGGTTTCTCCTTACAATATACGCACATATAGGGCATATTAGTATGTTGGGTCTTAACATGTATGTTTCTTTCGTCCAGAGATGAAAACGTGGCCACACACCGACTACAACTATATTTATTTTCATGTGGTATTTTAGTATGTGCAATCATTGCGGATTCTGTAATAAAACCTTCCCCGCAAGTATCGCAGACATAATTCTGAAAGTGTTCATACGTATGCTTGTTCAGTGATACAAAATCTTTGAATTCATTTGGACACATGGTACACTTCCATATTGAGCCATCATTTAATCTAAATGGTAATACACCTAATTGAGCATCCGAATTTATAGGTTGTTGGTGATCGTTCTTTAAATGATAGGTCAGAGACTCGAAATTATCGATCGACATAAAACACAGTTTGCACTGCAAGTCTGTTATATCAATTTTGAGGAATTCTTTTCCTAATTTCTTATAGAACGCGGCTTGAACATCATAGTTAACATGTCTAGTGGCCATATGAGATCTTAAACCGTTTGGATCACTCGATTGAACCCTACAGAAAACACAATTGAAATTATTCTTCCAAGTTCTGAATGGGCACGCAGTGGAGCATTGTAGAATTATTTCAGCGTTTGTGCGCGGTTTTAGTACCTTACCATTTCGCGGTTTATATGCAGTTCGAAAACATTTCACTTGGCGACAATGATCGCGTAATGCGTAATCAGACATAAAAGTCGTACCGCATTTATCGCAACTAAAATTCATAAAATGATTTCCTATGTGCCGTTTAAATTGAATGAACTCATCATAACATTTATGGCAGTATACGCACAACCAACGGTTATCATGATCTTGTTTGTATGGTAATACACCAAAGCGAGCATTAAATTTAACTGGCTTCCTATGTTCTCTGGATAAATGAGTCATTAACGTATCTACATCGACAATATCTTGAGAGCAAAGTTTACATTTCAAATTCGTTATGTCAACTTTAACAAGATTGTCTTTGGTTCTATAGAATACATTTTTAAAATCCGAATTGATATGTTCGGATTTCATGTGATAACGTAAATCCATGAGAGTGTCGTACTCGTCGTGGCAATACGCACAGAGTATCTGACTAAATCTAGTCTTAAAAGGGTAGGCGGAGGAACATGTTAGTATGAGCTCGACATTGCGCCGCTGTGGCGTCTGGTACACAAGAACAATTTTCTTTTTTGTTTCATTGTGACTACGTCCGTGAATTGCCAATGTGGACCCTAAAAACAAAAAAGAAAACGGTCAGTGTCACCGAATCGCGTAACAGGAAGCGACAACTAAATTTAATAAAGGCATAAATCATGCAGGCTTTATTAAGTGATTAAGTTAAACATCTTAACACGCTAAATTAATATCTGGATGACAAGACTCCATATGAGATATTAAGCTAACTTTTTCAATAAATTGTTTATTGCAAGATATGCACACTAATCTTTTAGATTCACTGTGAATCCACATATGTCGTTTCTGAATCTTCTTACTAGAATATGATTTAAAGCATATAGAACATTCAAAGGGTTTTCCATTAGTATGATGAGTCCTATGGTCATTTAAACGTCAAACTACAATACATGAACATGTATAACTTTCATTATGAATCAGTCTATAGTGGGTATAAAACATTTTTCTAGAATTATAGACTTCTCCACAGTCCGGACAAAAATAAGTCTACTGTGGCAAATTATGGACTTCGACTGAATGTCTTTGCTTGAACTCCCAACAGGTGAACCGTTCGCCACAAATGACACAACAATACGTCCAATACGATTTCGAAACTTTTTGGTGTTTCTTTCTTTCCTCTAGCGATTCGAATTGTTTCCAACATTTACGACACTGATGCTTCCCTGAATGCGCACATTTCATGTGGAACTTAAAAGCCTCTTTTGTAACGTAACATCGTCCACATATCTCACAAGTTATTTTCTGAAAATGAGTAATCATGAAGGATGCACACTTTTGATCGCATAACACGCAAACCCAGTTGTCTATCGCAATCTTGTACGGATGCATGGCAATTTCATAATTCAAATTTAGTTATTTGCGTTCATGTCTCTCGCGTATATGTTTGGCAATTTCGTTTAAATTCTCAAAAGGATCTTCGCACAATTGGCATTTAAGATTCGTGCAATCCACCTTAAGATAGTCTCTTGTATTCATGTGCGCAAACGCAGTGGCTACACTAAATTTCTGGTGATTTTCGTCCATGTGGTTTCTATAGACTGTGGAGTCTTGATATTTATCGCAACAGTATACGCACTGCATCCACTTGCCGCGTAATCTAAACAGATATACCGTCGAATATTGCAAGATAACTTCGGCATTCCTTTTCATCATCTGTGCCTCTGATTCTAGAAAAAAAAATATTCCATTATGACTGTAGAGTCCAATTTGGTCCCATTTTGGGAGACTTCACAAATAATGCTTTAGTACATGAAAATTTCTATTAGTGTTACAATAGAAGGTTCGTATAGTCCGAGGATATGCCTATAACAAAAAATATGATTTGTTTAACGTCACAACAAGAATTCAATTTCAAAATGTATAAAATACTTACAAAGAACGGGGTTTATTTTAATTAAAAACAATTTACCGTCATTCTGTTTATTGCTACATAAATACAACATAACATGTATTCAACTACAATTGTAAGTATTTTCTCCAGAAAAGAAATACAACCCTCAATGGTCACAGTAGTAAAATTGAACAAGGAAATAACAGCTTAAACAAAACCACATAATTTTAACGATCCTTTTAAATCAATATCTAGTTATATCTGGATGGTGAGACTTCATATGACACTTCAAACTAACTTTCTGAGCAAATTGTTTACTACAAATTGCGCATATGAATCTTTTTATATCACTATGAATCCACATGTGTTGTTTCAGTCCTTTCTCTCTAGAAAAAGATTTAGTGCACACTGTACACTTGAAGGGTTTTTCACCAGTATGACAAATTCTATGATCTTCCAAGGCATTTTTGCAAATAAACTTTAAACCACAATACGAACACATGTAACTTTCATCTGTATGTGTCAATTTATAGTGGGCGTAAAATAATTTTCTAGAATCGTAAACTTCCCCACAGTCAGGACAATTGTAAGTCTGCTTCGGCAAGTTATGGATTTCCACTGAATGCTTTTGCTTCAACTCCCATGAGTTAAATCTCTCGCCGCATGTGGTGCAACAAAAAGTCCAACACGGCTTCGAATTTCTTTGGTGTTCCCTTTTTTCCTCTGTCGATTCAAATTCCCTCCAGCACCGCCGACACTGATACTTCCCTGAATGCGAGCATTTTATGTGGTATTTAAGAGCTTCGTTGGTGAGGTAACACCGTCCACATACATCACAAGTAAATTTGAGGAAATGAGAAGTCGTGTGTCTACATAATTTCGTTAACGCTGCAAATTTCTTATCACATAACAAACAGATCCAATTATCTTTAGAAATTTTGTACGGTTGCATGCCTAATTCGTAATTTAAATTTAGTTTCTTGCATTCATGTCTTTCGTATATATGTTTAGCGACATCTTCCAGAGTTTCGAACGGTTGTCTGCACATACGGCATTTGAGATTCGTGCAATCAACTTTCAGGTAGTCTTTCCGTTTGCCGAAATGCGCGAAGGCAGTGGAAACTGTAAACTTTTGATGGTGTTCGTCCATATGATTTCTATAGACCGTTGGATCTTCGTATCTATCGCAACAGTATACGCACTGCATCCACTTGCCGCGCAGTCTAAAAGGATATACCGTCGAATATTGCAAGATAACTTCGGCATTCCTTTTCGCCATCTGTCCATCTGGTTCTAGAAAAAAAAATATTCCATTGTGACTGGTGGCTCCGTTTAATGTACCATTTCGGAAACATAAATTAGCTGTGCTGTTTTGTCGCAGCTTCCAATATTGATTGACATGTGACCGACTGTGACAGTGGCGGAAGAAGTCATGAAATTTATGGATGACCTATAATGATAAGAATTATCAGAACATAAAAACAATTACTTCTGCATGTTACTGGCATTTGTGTTATTTTTAAATAAATATTTTATAAGAAAACTATATTATTTTATATAACTTTTCTCCAACGATTCTTTTCATCTTGAAAACAAATATACATATTGTGGGGACAACCCAAACACCCAGACTACAGACAATTTTGAATAGTACATTTCTATAATTTCCCTGGCCAAGATTCCACCCCAGAACCTAGATTACTCAAAGCAACATGCCACAGCAATAGTGTGTTTAGACCAAAATAGGATAGCTATTTAATCAAAAACAATTTTAATATTAGCTTATTTATTAAACACGATTCTCACACTAGAACAATTAAAAACGATAACATAAACCTTACACCACTAAAATATAACTAATAAAAAGAACCACAATAGCAATTCGGACACAATTAACCCATATATACATTTAAACATATAACTCAATGGATCAAAACGATTAAACAATTATTTATACAGATGACCACCATATTCATAAGTTTTATAACAAGACATTGATTCAAATTAAGAAAAGGGCTAAAAAGATGAATCTATCAATCAAAGTATCTGAATGTCTATTAGACTCTTATGATATATCATTTGATCGCCATTAGTGCGGAGTGCATGAGCTAAGAACTGTTAAAAACTCAATATAAGAGTACAGTACTTTACGATGTAAGTGCATGATGGTTATAATACAAGCGGCGTAATTTCAGTCCGAACCGAAGGCGATGCCGTAATAGAGCCGAGTGTGTTATATACGCACGTATATCGACGACGTTTTTTAACACACTGATTTCTAATAAACTCAACCATAAAAGTGTAATGCACAATGTTGCCGTTTTACTTTTTAAAACTTCACTATTTACGTGATTTTGAACTGATTTTTATACATTGAACATCATACAACATATCTACAACAAATTTTATGAATACGGAGGTTTGTATAAATAATAATGACAATAATAGGCGAGAGACGAGGTACTCCACGCAGGCGATTTGTACAAATTCTAACATATATTTGTCTATGTAGAAATTTACAATGTCACTCATATATAACAATATATTTAGCTATTAAATAATACATCATTACAAATTATTTACATGAACATAACATAAAAATCTTTGCTAAAGTCATATATTTTATACCCGGAATTTTTACATAGAATTTTTTTTTAATTTAACAAAACTTTTGTGCCACATTTATATTTTATAAACAAGTTACAAATATAAAACAATCATTATAAGGTAAACATTATTGCACAAATCGTGGTCACTTTCATATACAATTTGAATTTTCTACGTATTACGTGGTTCTATTGAAATTTTATAAATCCAATATTTTGAAAATTGTCTTCAAAGTATTAAAGGATGTACAGAGTGTAATAGAAGCATTCGAGATTTTTCCTTTTGATATATAACTTGAAGTGGAATACGTACGCATGTTAAATAATAAAAATACCATATGGTAAGACGACAATAACATTACTCTGTCAAGTGAAAAAACAGTAATTCCAAAAATAAGTAAAAAATTATTCTTACAATTTACTCGTGGCCGTATAGAAAAACTATAGTTATTATCACATTTTGAGATATTAGACACTCTACGAGGATATTCACATATACATGTTAAAACTGTTCCATTGTTAAGCTCTACTCAGTAAATTAACATTCCAAATCGAGCTTTATTTATTCGCAGCAAAAACCATATCTGCATGATAAGTCCGCATATGAGATTTCCATGTAACATTCTGCGTAAACTGTTTATTGCATATTTTACATGAAAACCTCTTGTGCTCGCTGTGAATCCACATGTGTTGTACTAAATTCCTTTTCCTTGCGAAAGACTTCATGCAAACGGTGCAAGGAAACAATTTCTCTTTCGTATGAACCACTCTGTGTTTCTCCAGATTGGTTTTGGTGTCAAATTTGCGGCCACACGAACAAGTGAAGTACTGATCTGTGTGCGTTATTTTGTAGTGAACCCTGTAACGCATGCGATCTGGAAACACTTCATTACATTCTAAGCAATGATAAGTCTTCTTTTGAGCTCCGTGCAGTTGCGCTCTATGTGCATCTCTTTGGGTAGCCGTCATGAACCTTTCCCCGCAATCTCTGCATAAGAACGACCAACATTTAGGCGAATCATTCAGATGCTTCCTCTTAGCTTCTAAGGTCATAAATGTCTTTTTACATTTGACGCAAATCCGCTGATCACCTATATGTGAAAGCTTCATGTGTTGCTGTAAAGACGATGAGGTAAAATAGGATTTTCCGCAAGATTCACAAGTGTGTTTAAGGTAATGCGACTGAGTATGTCGACTCAGCGCTCGCAGTGTGGCAAATTTTTCACCGCACAACGCACACGATCGCCTCCCGCCCACAAACTTAAACGGTTGCACGCCTAAATCATACTTCTTTTCCATTTTCAAGTCATGAGCTGATATTAAATGGTCAGCGAGAGGTTCCAACTCTTCAAACGTATGACGACAGAGGCGACATCGAAGATCGGTTATATCCACTTTTATATACCCGTCTGGTATGTGGGCGAACGCGATACGTATTTTTACTTCTTGGTGTTCGTCATCCATGTGCTTCCGGAACTGTGCGGGGTCATCGAAAGACTCCAGGCAATAAACGCACACCATAGAACATTCTGGAAGCTTGAATGGGTACGCTGTCGAATATCCGACAATAATCTGGGCGTTTCGTCGTGCTAGCGCCATGGGCGATAGGTTCAACTCTAGAACAAAAAGAAACGGGTCTCGATCAGCATCTGCGTCTGGTGCATTCTCGTTTCGTTATTTTTCAGATAAGAAAAATTTCATAATTGTTGCTAGAGCTAGAGATTTACATAAAAGTATAAACCAACGCAGATGTTTTTATTTAATTTTCACATGATTAGATATAAAAAGAACCCAATACGATGTTCTATCTTTAAAATTTTTCTTACACTCGAGACACGAATAAGTACGTCATCGCATGTTTCAAAGCGCTGGTAGCATACTTTGCAAAAATGCGTCCAAATGTTGCTCTTTCTTCCAATGTTTTAAAAGTCTTTTTACACATTATACATAAACGTTCATCGCCATTGTGCGAGTTCTTAATGTGCGATTGTAAGGACGATACTGTAGAATACGATTTGGCGCGATATGCACACGTAAACTGGGATAAACGTGTTTGAGTGTGTCTACTTAGAATTCCAAGTGTCAGGAACTTATCATTGCACAGAGCACACAACCACTTTCCTTTCAGTAGCTTGAATTTAGTCAGTCTTTGAATGGAGCCTGAATAAGTGTTCAGCGATCTCTCCTAATTTCTCGTGCGTCAGAACAGATTCTACAGCAGGGATCTGTATTCTCTGTGGAATAAAGTCGTAAATTTATATAGCTTTATTGCTAAATTATATGCTAAATTTCTTTTCCTCGGTATCGAATATGCTAGTCGGTTGGTAGGGAGGAATGAGAATATCTGGATGATAGCTTTTCATATGCGTCCTCCAGCTGACTCTTTGATTGAACTGCTTATTGCAAAGAGTGCATTCAAATCTTTTGTGTTCACTATGGATCCACATATGTTGAGTCAAATTCTTTTTTCTACCAAATGACTTCGTACATAATGAACACGGGTACAGTTTCTCTTTTGTGTGTACTACTTTATGTTCGTCGAGACCACGTTTGTTATCAAACTTCAACTCGCAGAATGGGCATGTGTAGTGATTGTTAGTGTGAGTTATTTTGAAGTGCACGTGGTACTTGTTGCGGTCTAAGAAGATCTCACTACACTCCGGGCACACGTAAGACTTCTTCTCGACCCCGTGTGCTTCGCTCAGATGGACTTGCTTCAAATTCCATGTGACGAACCTCTTACCGCACAAATTGCATAAATAAGACCAACATCGAGGAGATTCATTCAAATGTTTCCGTTTATCATCCAAAGTCTTAAAGGTCTTCCTACATTTCCTGCAGATCTTTTCGTCACTAACATGCGTATTTTTAATGTGCACCTGCAACGAAGATGCCATAGAATATGATTTACCGCAGGATTCGCAAGTGTACTTAGCAAAATGAGTCTGCGTGTGTCTGCTCAAAGTACGAAGCGTGGAAAATTTCTCGTCACATAAAGCGCATATCCACATACCCTTAACCAACTTGAAAGGCTGCAATCCTAAATCATGCGATAGATTAATACAGGTTTTCGAATGTATTTTCAATAAGTGGTCAGCTACCTGTCCCAATTTGTCAAACCCTTCCGAACAAATTCGACAACGGAGATCAGTGCAATCGACCTTAATGTACCCTTCAGGTACGTGGCCGAAAGCAGACCACAATGGAAAGTCATGGTGTTCGTCCTCCATATGTTTTCTGAACTGCGAAGAATCCGTATAAGTTTGGTAACAGTACACACATGCCATCGTATCTTCTGGTAGCCTAAAAGGATATGCCGTTGCGTATTGTACAACGGTCTCAGCGTTCCGCCTCACGTAGTACATTGGTTCATTTTCTAGAACAAAAAGAAATGTTCCTTATCAGATACTTGCTCTTTCACTAATTTTATTTCTATTATCCCTTCGTTTTCATTTAGCTCTGACTAAGCCTATTTTGGAGATTTTATAAACATGTCTAATTATCTTTTAAAACGGAGAATAATAATTTTAAGTTATTATTCTTTCCTTCATCAACAAATTGGCTAGTTGACTGATATGGTGGTATATATATCTCCGGATGATATGACTTCATGTGTGTTTTCCAACTGACTCTCTGATTGAATCTCTTGTTGCAGAGTGTGCATTCAAATCTCTTGTAGTCACTGTGTATCCACATGTGCTGGGACAAATTCTTTTTTCTTGGAAAAGACTTCGGACATACAGGACACGGGAATAGCTTTTCCTTTGTGTGCACTACTCTATGCTCGTCCAAACCACGCTTCGTCTCGAACTTCAAGCCACAACACGTGCACATAAAGTTGTCGTCCGTATGAGTAATTTTAAAATGCACTCGGTATTTTTTCCTATCCAAGAATACACCACCACACTCCGAACACACGTATGTCTTCTTCTCGGTTCCGTGTACTTGATTTAAATGAGTTTGCTTCAAATTCCACGTGATGAATCTTTCACCGCACATGTTGCACAAGTGTGACCAACATTTCGGGGTTTCCTTTAAATGTTTTCTCTTATCCTCTAAAGTGCTGAAGGTCATTTTACATTTCCTACAAATCCTTTCGTTTTCTATATGAGTGAATCGAATGTGGTGTCTTAAAGTTGTGATGGTGGCATATGATTTCCCACATGCCTCGCACGTGTACTTAAGGAAATGACTTTGAGTGTGCCGACTTAGTTGTCGAAGACTAATATATTTAGCTTGGCAAATTGCACACACGAACCTGTCATTTTCTAATTTGAATGGTTGTATACCTAAATCTACATTAAGGTTTATTGGTCTTTCGTGTAACAATACCAAATGTTTGGCAATGTCTTCTAAATTTTCGAATGTTTCTGTACAGATCCTACAGCGAAGGTCTGTGCAGTCGGCTTTGATGTAACCCTCATTGCAATGCACGAATGCCATGCGCACATTAAAAACTTCGTGTTCATCATGCATATGCCTCCTATACTGGACTGGTAGATTGAAACTCTCGGCGCAGTATACACAGACCATCACTTCCTCTGGCAGTCTGAACGGGTACACGGTTGAATATTTCACGATAATCTCGGCGTTCCGCCTGGCGATGATATAACCATCATTTTCTAGAACAAAAAGAAATGCCCTTGGTCATTTGACGGTTCTGTTTGATTATTTCTTACGTTAACGATTATGCTGTTTTAACGACGTGTTATCAAACAGTTGTAGTCCAGACTTGTTGATAATATTTATTCTGTAATGTCCCGTCACTGTGCGCAGTCTTTTATATGATCGATTGATTTATGTTTAGATATTACTTGTTATAAGAGGTGTTAAGTTAAAATGACCAGAATAGTGATGGATATGAATGAATATGATTGTTATGAGACGTTTTTCATTGCAAATGTCGATGGATGTGGATTGATTATAATATATATTAATAAGAAATACAAGTTGAAAGACCAACATTGTCTCGAAGGAAACACTAAAGATAACCTAAACTAAAGCTAACTCTTCTGAAACATGTTTCACAGGCCGTAAAACTGTATTTGCGTGGCTGTATGTTAATTTTCAGGAACTCAAGACGGAGTAATACAATCTTATTTATGTGTACTATTCCAAGCTGCTTGGCAAGCATAATAATAGCAGCTGTTTGTACATTCATTCATTTTTAGGACGCATGCAACCTACTATCATAGTGCTACATGCTTCTTTAAATGCCTATTAAGCTGAGATTTGCAAGAGAACTTTAATCCACATTGCATACATAGAAATTCCTCTCCAGAATGCTGCTTTTTGAAGTGGTCATAAAAATATTTTCTGTTCGTAGTGGACAGATCACATATTGAGCAATGGTAACTTTTGCAGACTGTATCATGTATTTCTCTCATGTGGCGATGCTTTAATTCCCAATTTGGGAATCTTTCAGGACACTGAGGACAACAGTTGGGCATGCAATGCTTCTCCGTTCTCTGATGAAGTGACTTCGCCTCCATCGATGAAAAAAATCGCCGACAACGTCTGCATTGCACCTTAAATTCGTTGTTATGTTTAGATTTTACATGCTGTAACAATCCTGCAGACGCAGCGTAACTCTTTCCGCAAACTTCACATATGTAATTAAGAAAATGCGATACCGTGTGTTTGTTTAAGAGTAAAAGTGACGGATGCGTCTTATTGCAGAGCACGCATTTCCAATTATACTTGTCCAGCAAGTATGGCATAATTCCTATCTCAGAATCAATATTAATAGCTTTCTTATGAGAACTCAGATGTTTAAGAGCATCTACAGTACCGCGGATGGGTTCTGAGCAAATTCTGCAGGATAACTCTGAAATATCGACTTTAACATACTCCTTATTAGGTAAATTGGTGAAAGCCATTTTAAAGTTGAAGGTTCCATGTTCGGAATGCATGTGCGTGCGAAATTGTTTGGGACAGTCGATCAGATCTCCGCAGTAGACGCAAAATAATGATTCTACTTTCACGCGGAATGGATAAGCTGTCGTGTATTTAATTATTAACTCGGCGTTCTTCCGGACAGGATCGCGTAGCTCTAGAAAGGAAAAAAAAGCTTTGTACATATATCTTGTCAACATGCTGACAATATTTAATATAAACAATCTATATATCCATATAGGAATACAGAGACTATAAAGCCTGCTGCACCCTTGGATTATAAATCGCTCGACTAAATATTTGCAAGCATATTGTTAGTTTAGTGGATCAGGCATTATGCGGCAAGATATAGTTCTTTATAGACAGGGAAAAGATAAAATGGGGTTATCATTTTATCTTTTCCCTGTCTATAAAGAACTCCATTAGTTATGTAATATTAATAATGACCTATTGACACTTGAGTCTATTACTCTTGTGCTTACGACATAACTGTACAGAACGAATATAGTAACAGACGATGATGCAAAAGTATTTTCTTTCTGTAGGACTAATAGAGCAACGCTAAGTGATACACTATAGCACTAATAATCTACAGCTTTTCTTAGTAAGGCGTAGATTTTTCCTAATTGTACGGATAATGATTCGAGTCAAATTTAAAACAGTAAAACTCTTAATATTCTCATATGACAAAAAAGTAGCTCTAGTCGAGTTTCTTGTCAGTTCTTCTTTAACTGATGTACCTAGCCGAACAGTACGGTAAGGGATATAATAATAAAAAAATCAGGATATTTAAAATACCAGTAAATGTTCAAGTTAATAGTTGTGTATAAAATCGTTTAACAGTGAATGGTGTTTTGAGAATATCTTCATCTTGAAAAGTCTAAGGCAAATAAAGGCACTATCTTCATACCTGGTAATAATGTTCCTCATTGAAGTTTACAAGTGAAAGGTAGCCTATCAATATTTTAAAGGCCTGCGCAGATGTGGAGATTATGTTTGCAGACTATAAAACTCCCCTTTATAAGGCCGATGGCCTCGGTGGTCTAGCAGTGTCTCACACCGCCTTAGTTCCGTTGGTCGCGGATTCGATTATCGCACGGTACACACATTTGTATTCATGACTACGATTGTTTGTATCGGTCTGGGTGTTTTCTATGTATAATATATATTTACGAAAAATTTATATCTATGTATTTGTATCACTTAACTAATGCCCATAAGACAAGCTTAAGCTAGCTTAACTTGGGTCTAGATGGCGCTGTATGAATTGTCCTGAGATTATTACCTACTTATATCACTATTTAACTTTTTAGCTGTGTTCAAGTGTGAAGCCAGTGAGTCTTCGGGCAATGGCATCCACTCAAGATGTACACTATGTTTTTTGGAGTGGAAGAAGATGGGGCAGTGAGTCTTGGGGCAATGGCAACCACATGAAATGTTCCACGGTACACTATGCTTTTTTAACGCCACGATGTAAATATAGTTAAACATTACTACTACTAAACTACTACCATCATGTAGGTCTCCAGCTTGTATGACATTCTAAATCCATAAAAAAAACTATGCAACGCCGTATCATCCATTGTACACATTACATAATTTATATTTATTCATTATTACATACGTATGTCCACAAGGTATTTATAATATTGGCCTCAAATAAATATATTTAAACTATAGTCAATTATACTTATTTGGTGGTTAGGTTATATTGGTGGTTACATTATACCTCGGTGGCCTAGCGGTCTAGCACACTGCTTTACGACCGATGGTCGCGGGTTCGGTTCCTTGCACGGCACAAACATTTGTTTTCATGAGTATAATTGCTTGTATCGGTCTGGGTGTTTCCTATGTATAATATGTATGTATTTACGAAAAAATCTATGTATATGTATCAGTTATCTAGTACCCATAACACAAACTTTAGCTAGCTTAACTTGGGTCTAGATGGCGCTGTGTGAATTGTCCTGAGATTATTATTATTATTATTTACGAATATTATTTCGTTTCTATACTATGTAAAGAACCATAAAAAACTGTTTAAAACTATATTTATCTTCCATTGGTAGTATAATTAAAAATTGCTCCATTAAAATACTTCTACATTGAAGCTTGTCTGTGTGTATATATTTAATAGCCAAGTTTTCTTTATTCCGTCACAAAATAAATTCCATTCCTGTAAGTTTCCAGTGTTAACTGAATAAATAAATAAATACCACAGTCCCAACTAATCCGTAACCATAACTCTAGTTTAGTAATGTGCTTCGGTTGAAGCATAGTTTTACTAATTTTTTGCGTGAAAGAGTAACAAACATCCATACATACAAGCATTTTCGTTTATAATATTACTAAGATTAAAAATTTTAAGACATATATGGTATGGAAGGTGGCGGGAGCTCCACCGACAAGAGCACAGCTCTTAAATTATTTAATTATAAATAACACACAACTACGTTGGCTAGGGCACGTGCACAGAATGGA